TTTGTATACCCGCTCACTGGTGTACCTAAAACTTCTCAGCGCCCACAAGACCCCTCTGGTAGCAGCCACTGGCCTGCAACCTGTCCTTCCACCCACCCTAAAGGCTGGCTCTGGAGGAATGGCTCAGGTTGTGGGCTTCAATTTGTTCCAAGGAGGGGACCAGGGGCCTGGGACGAGGTGCTGAGGTCGCTTCCCCCTGGACTTTGTACCCGCTCACTGGTGTACCTAAAACTTCTCAGCGCCCACAAGACCCCTCTGGTAGCAGCCACTGGCCTGCAACCTGTCCTTCCACCCACCCTAAAGGCTGGCTCTGGAGGAATGGCTCAGGTTGTGGGCTTTTCAATTTGTGAAGTGGATTTGGCAAAATATGTTTTCTGTGACTTTCACACCGTCCTCATTGTGCTGAGATAAGTGTCCCGGTCAGTCACCTTCTCCATGGCTCTTGTGACAAGACAGGGCAGGAGGAGAGAGGATAAGAAGGACGAGGAGTCTGAGCATGGTGGCACACTCCTGTAATCTCAGCTCTCTGGCACCCAGAGGCAAGAGGATCGCCAAGTTTGAGCCCAACTGGAGCATTTAGTGACTTAGTGAGACACTGCCTCAAAAAAATAAATGAGTGGCTAGACATATAGCTCAGTGCAAGTGTCCTGAGTTCAATCCCCAGTACTAGGAGAAAAAGAAGACAAAAAAGGAAAATAAAAACAAAAGGCGGAAGTGGGAGAGGGCGCTGGGCAGGGGCTTGGGAGGAGGAGGCTGAGGAAGTGGCCACCCCCTGGGCCTCTTTCCCTGGACTGCCTCCTGTTTCCCACTCTTCTCTCTGTCTCTCCTGTCTGTGTCTTCTTTCTTGGGTCATCTTCTGGAGATACCAAATGAAACGGACAGAGGCCGGGGGGCTGGAGACAGTCACTGCACTGGAGAATGAAGAGGATGAGCACACTTAGGACACAAGGTGACAAGTTTAGGGTGACAAGTTTAGGGCCCTGGGACAAAATGTACCGAAGCATCGAGAGGACAACTGCATGGAGGTGTCCTGGAGACACTGGGATATAAGGACCTGGGGGCTGGAGACCCAGGTCAAGGCATCATTCTGTCCTGCGTGGTAACTCTCCATGAAACTCTGGGTTGGGACTCAAAGGTGGTCCAACCTGTGTTCCAGGTTTGCATTCTAGTGGAGAAAAGAGCCAAGTCCTGGGTTCAAATCTGAGTGTGTATGCAACATGGCATAGCCAGGGATGGTGGCGTGTGCCCGTATTTCCTGCACTGAGGGAGGCTGAGGCAGGAGGATGGGAAGTTTGAGCCAGCCTGGGGCAACATAGTGAGAATGTGTCTTGAATGAAAACATAAACTAAAAACGGCTAGGGATGTATGTAGCTTGGTGCAAAGGCCTGGCGTTCAATCCCCAGTGTGCCAAAAGAAGAAGAAAAAAGAATGAAGCAAAGGCAAGGGTGGAGATGAACGCCTAAGGCACACAGAGAAGGCTTCCTGGAGGGGCAGTTCCCGAGCCCGCCTGGTGGAGGAGGAGGGACTACTGGAGCCCTCTGGGGTTCATCCGTGGGTCTTTCCTCCTGCTCTGTCCACACACACACACACACACACACACACACACACACACACACACGTTCTCTTCCTCACAGCCGTCTGTCAGCTCCGCCTCCATCTCCGCCCCAGTGAGGACCCAGAGTCCGCTGCCCACCTGGGCCAGAGGCTGAGCTGCTGGACGAGGTAGATCCAGACCTCTGGACGTTCAGCAACAGGACGCCCAGGTTCCCTTGGTGGGATGTCTGCAGGCCCCCCGAAATCCCCAGCCTCAACTTAGTGAAATAAAAAGGTGGAAAATAATTTAAAGGCTAGGAAAAACAAAAAGACCCGGGTTTGATCCCTGGCACCCCACCTGCCCAAGGAAAAAACTCTTTACAGTGGTTTATGAGAAACCCTACAGCCAAGGAGGCCTGGCTGGAGAAGCCTGCTCCAAAGCCCCCTCCGCCTCCCCCAGCCCACACTCTTGCCAGTGCCCTGCGATGACCGGAGGCCACCTTGGTTCTGCTCAGGGACCCATGTGGCCAGGGCTGGGCTGGGCGCAGCTGGGGAGCTAGATGGGGTTGGCTGATCAGCAGGACCCAGGGTCCAGCCTGGCCCCAGAGGACCGAGTGCGGTGTGGGAGGCCATGCAGCAAGAGCCACAGCCAGGGACTTAGCTGCCCTCTAGCCTGGCCATGGGGAGGTGCAGAGGGGTCTCCCCCAGGAAGAGCAGGGGTCTCTCACCAGACTGCAAAATTAGGGACTTGAGGCTACATGGGGCCTCGGTAGCAGAGGCTAAGGGGCAGCAAATTCCCAGGGAAGGGGAAGAGAGGGAGGGAGACAAGAGTAGAGGGTGTGTGTGACACCTGTGAGTGGCAGCACTGGGCTGAGCCCAGCCAGGGGCAGCAGAGAGGAGCAGCAGGGACAGCTTGTGAAGGTTCTTCACCACCCAGCTGCCGCTACAGCTCGGCAGATTTAGCCCCATGGTGGGGGTCGGGGCAGCCTTTCCAGAGGAAGCCTTGGCACTGAGCTGCATCCTCGTCCCTCTTTAATTGTTTATTTTGGGAGAAGGTCTTTTGAGGTCAATAACTTGCCCTGTGCTTGAGACCCTCCTGCCTCAGCCTCCTAGGGTCTGCACCACTACACCCAGCTATTCTGAGCCTATTCACTGCCTGCCACACCTCCATACTTGCGGATACAGTGCTATCACCTACTTCTTATTCAGTTGGACTAGATATTCCAACTACTTTTAGAAGTTTTGGGTGGGGGATTTAGCTCAGTGATTCTGTTGCCTGCCTCACAAGAGTTTGATCTCCACTACCCCACCCCAAAAAAGTTTTATCCTACGTAATTCTCACAGCACTTTACAGACTGTCATAATTTCACTCAGCGGGAGGTTGAATCCAGGCCCCTTTACAGACTGTCATAATTTCACTCAGCGGGAGGTTGAATCCAGGCCCTCACGCGTGCTAGGGACGCACTCTACCTCTGACCCCCAGCCCTGTCACTTCCATTCCTCAGAGGGGACACAGGACAGAAGGGCTGCGTTGAAGTCCGTCACTTTTCATCCTTCCAACCTGGGCCACATGGCAGGAGTGACGCACGGTGAAGCCCTTTGGAGCCCTCCTTTTTTCTCTGGAAAAAGTCAGTCCTGTTTTCAGAGCCAGCCCCAAAGCAGAGGATGCACAGTGGCTCCGCTTGGGGTGTTCAGCCACCAGCTACTCCAGTCTCCTGTGCACGGGAAGCCGATCTGTGGGCCATCGGAGCTGGTGACCGATCCGAGGTTGCACAGCTCCAGGGTGGGAGTAGGAGGCACCGTGTGAGGTTCGGGCTCAGCCTCAGGTCTCAGGGACGGCTGGAGTCCTTCACAGGCACCTAAGGTTCAGGGGAGGAGGGCTAGGGAGGGCGAGGCTGGGCCCTGGGTCCCTGGGAAACAGCCCAGCAGGCAGCTACAGGCCCAGGGCCCCTGAGGCCTGCGGCCATGGCTGGTGGACAGGAAAACCGCTCTCACTTTCCTTTGGTGCCTCAGCGGGATGGGAGTGGGAGGCGGAAAAGGCAGGTGAGTGGAGCCAGCAGCCAAGGAGCTGCCAACACATCCCACCTCTCTCCCTGGGCAGGGGTGGAGTCCTGCCTGGGCCTGGCCCAGCAGGCAGGGAGGCAGTGGGAGAGAAGAGATGGGCAGGAGGAAGCGGTGCCCGGAACTGGCCGTGTCTAGTTGGCCTCCTTGCTGAGCCACCTCTGTCACCCAGTTCAGGCACAGGGGAAGGACTGAGGGGACAGGAGGAGGAATTCCCCGCTGGGAGGTGAACCACAGCCAGCGGGGTAGAGAATTAAGAGGGGATGCTTGCCTGCCCTGTTGTCTCCTGGAAGGGAACAGTGGGGGACAGAGTGACCCCGGGACAGAAGGAAAGTTGCCATTAAGAGTCCTGTGAGTATTCACCTTAGAACCCTCCCCTCCTGCACCCTGCTCTGACCCTTCC